AAAGTAGTTCTATATAAAATTTAATAAATCTTGTGTGTATACAGATATAAGTAATGACACTGGTTAGGTAATTCTGACATGAACTTTTAAGTGGTCACATTCAGATTTCACGTAAAAATAATGTTTTGTATTTTCTGTACTTTTACAAAAACATGATCACGACTTACAAAAATATATATAAATGCAACACCAAACACTGCATCTACGTCAGGTTTGAAAATTCGGTAAGTCTCTACCATCGATGTCGTATTTTGATTAAAATGTTACACACAGAGCTGACTGCTGGATTCTTCCCTTTCCAAAAGGCAGTACCTGCTTCATTTTATAGCTGGTAGAGTCCATGCGGCCGTGGGTAAATTACCAAAACACATCTGATCCTCGTCGCCAAGTTATTGTGGTCTTCTTAGGACCTGAGATAAAAACACAAGAAAGGAACTGAGTTAAACAAATATATTAACAGAAACAGTAATACAAACATATACAAACGAGAGTGTTACAGCAAGAATGTTTGGTCCGATTGTCAGAGCTGACTGCTGAAAACTTTCCTTTCCAAAAGGCAGTACATGCTCCTATTTATAGCTGGGAGACTCCATGTGTGCATGGGTAAATTACCATAACACATACAGATACAGTATTTATATGAAAATAAAACATGGATTCTGACAAGAGTTAAATGTCGTGAAAACTGAAAAAATCTCAGCATTTTATTTGTAACGCTGCAAGGCAACAATCGTGCTACAGGTAGCCATGTTGCTTTCTGAAATTTTCCATTTGTAGCACGTCATGTCAGCACCTGACAAAATTTCGGATTTTGGAGGTTTTCGGATTTTGAAATTTCGGATAAACGATACTGTAATGTATTTCATTGACTAAGAGAAACTTTTTAAATAAATATAAAAGTTACGTCGTGGTGTAACGTTTGAAGCATTGCTGTAAATATATTTCTTCCGCATTGGCGATGCAATGTTGGTTCGGTTTAATCAAAGATGTTCCATCATCCCCAAAAAAGACAATATGAATATAACATTTTGAAATGTTTTGGTAAGTTTACAGCGTCTTCTTCCTCCCCCTTCCATCTCTTCCTCCCCCTTCCACCTCGTCCTCCCCCTTCCACCTCGTCCTCCATCTTTCTCCTCGTCCTCCTCCTTTCCACCTCGTCCTCCCCTTCCACCTCGTTCTCCCCCTTCCACCTCGTCCTCCACCTTTCTCCTCGTCCTCCTCCTTTCCACCTCGTCCTCCCCTTCCACCTCGTTCTCCAACTTCCATCTCTTCCTCCCCCTTCCACCTCGTGCTCCATCTTCCACCTCGTCCTCCCCCTTCAGCCACGTCCTCCAACTTCCACTTTGTCGTCTCCCTTCCACCTCGTCCTCTCCTCCTCCTTTTTAGAACCGATAGGTCTTCCTTAAAGTATAAAACCACAATCTCACCACGCTTGGTGTTACTACTGTGGCTTCTCTAGAAAGTCAGTCTTAAATGTAGGTGGGGTTCCCAGGCCCTCATTCGACCGGTTTTGAATTAAGAGTTTTTCTTCTCTTGGATTGGTTGCCGTCCAAGTCTGAAGCGTCCAGTCTGCCCTGTTGTTTAAGCCATGACCTTGGGAAGAAAAATAGATTCCTCCAATTCTCAAAAATATCTGTAACAAAAGTGAAAGAGACGACCTCGGTTGAAGATTGAACACGGGCTGCTGATCCCATTTTCGACGCAGATTGAAGCTACGATATTTTTTTTATAATAACTTCGGCGAACATCTAAAGGTGCATATTCTGAAAAAGATATATTCAGTATCTACCGACATTGCGACATTTAAAACGCATGAGGATAGTTATGTATACAAACTACTAAATTCCCGCCCCTGGGAAATGAACTGCATGACAGGAGAGTTTAATAATAATAATAATAATAATAATAATAATAATAATAATAATAGTATTAGTCTTTTGTACAATTAAGTGAAAACAACAGAAAAATTCCCATCATTCGCTTGTCCAACGTTATTGGTTATGACCAGCATGCAAAAATATTTTTTACTACTACTACTACTACTACTACTACTACTACTACTGCTGCTGCTACTACTAATACTACTACTACTAATAATAATAATAATCATAATCATAAAAATAATAGTAGTAGTAATAGTAGGATTAGTAGTATTAATCTTGTCCTTAATTAAGTGGAGACAACAAAATTCGCTTGTCCCAGTTTATTGGATATGACCCGGCATGTGATTGTAAAAGAAAATTTTAGGTCAAAATAATTTTTTACTACTACTACTACTATTAATAATAATAATAATAATAATAATAATAATAAATTCATAGATCCTTTTTAGATTTGTGCATCAGATAAGCTTTAGAGTAATAACGTGCAAAAACGAACATAATTTTAATACCAGTTAATATATGCAAAAAAAGAAAAAAAAACGAAATATTCATAATAATAATAATAATAATAATAATAATGGATCATTTATAGATGTGTATATCAAATAAGGTTTAGAGTAATAATCAGCTAAACAACAACTAAAAATAGAACATAATTTAGATGCCCAATCATATAAATAAAAATAAAAACAATAACAACAACAATAACGATTATAATAATAGCCATCTATCTTGAAAGAAGCATTGAAGAAAAAGTGTAAAAAACGAAAACACATTTGATACATCTTCTTTCATGCTTGTAAATGAAAACACTGCTTTGCACTAAAACGCCTATCACAAGATCAAAAGAGTCGATCAGATACATTGAAACACACAAAGAACGAAACTCTTTAAATGGTTTTTATTAGAATCTAATTTTTGTATAGTTATCTTCTTTTATTGGCTTCCGATTATATTTCAGTCTCTATTTCAATTCGCCTCAGAGATAAGCGGCTCAGTTAAATTCGTATGAAAATTTATATCGTTTAAGAAAATTTAAGTATCACATGTCTTTTGTTTAAATCTAAGGATTATTTATTCTTTATGTAAAATATTTGAAATTTGCCAAACGTTGGAAGGAATTAAATAACAGATTGTAAGACACATAAATACGTCGGCTATAAAATTGAACCATAAAAGAACGGGAAAGATAATGTTGTTTAAAACTTATAGAGCTGACCTTTGATGTTAAAAGTACATTACATGTAACTTTTATTAGAAAAGAGAAAAAAAACTAACGGTAATGTTAAAATTAACAATTTCCAAGAAGCATTACTGTACTGTTACATTCGATTGATATAAATATATATTTTTAAGACATTTTTATGTTTATACATTCTTTTTATAGATACAAATATTTAAGTAAAGGCTCTGTTTATAATAAACAGTATAAAACAACATTTACCGGCCTGAATGTCCGAGTCATTTTCATAGAAAATATTCGTCCTCCGATAGGAATCGAACCGGAATCCTAATCAAACGATCCTCTGTGGCCCAGCTGGTTAAGCACATCAGGCTATATGACGGTTCCGTGTAGGATATAGGTTCGAGGAGGCATATTTTCTATGAAAATTTCTCGGACATTCAGGCCGGTAAATGTTTTTTAATACTGTTTATCATAAAAACAGAGCATTTACTTAAATATTTGTATCTATAAAAAGAATGTATAAACATAAAAAATGTCTTAAAAATAATTGTCGGACTTTGTCCATTTTATATATATATATATATATATATATATATATATATATATATATATAAAATGATAAAAATCTTTTATTAAGATATTTTTCCAGGAAATTAGATTTGCTTAGTCCACTAACTATTATAGCTCTTTCTCAAATTGATCTGAATTCTTTTTTAAACATTTTGTTTGCAGATAAGTGGAAAGTTAACAGTATAATTATATCATTATTTTTTTCTTTTGCATACATGTCATAACCGTTTTAGTTTCAACTGCCGGAAGTGACTTTCACAGAATTTTTATAATGTGCTTTACTCCTTGGTATCTCCTAGTATTAACCTGGCGACTAGGTACTATACTTTTTTTTTACTTTTGAAATAGCTAAATGTAACTGTAACGCCTATTCTGATAATTTATTTTCTCCTACTTTTCATTTGTTGAACACTCTTGCTTTACTGCCACTTTTCTTTTTATGTGCCATGTCCTTTAAGGGCGATCATGTATCTCCACCTCCCTCTCTCCCTTGCAGCTCTCAACAAGTTCATTCCCTCTGCTTTCTCCCCCCAGACCACGTTCTGTCATCCACTTGCTTAAGCCCACACCTTGCTTTCCCTTGTCTCTCTTTACCATTATTCAACCTGTGAGTATCAGATTCACCAGACCCTTCTTCCTCATTATGTGTCCCAGAAACTTCAGCTGCCTCTTCCTGGTGTTAAGCATGAGCCTCCTCCTTTTCTGCATTCTCTCCAAGAGCTCGGTGACGAAATATTAAGCGTTCTTCTGTAGAAACACATCTCCGTCGCCTCGATTCTCTTCTTCATCTTTGAGGAAATCGACCAACATTCGCTTCCGTAAAGAAGGACAGATGTCACGTAACAGCTCAGTATTCTTTTCTTTGTTACCAAAGAAATCCTCCCGTCTCACAATACTCTGCCCAGTTTTTGGAATGCGTCCTTGACCGTCCCAATACGTCTACGGATCTCAATCTCGCACTTACCGTCCGCTGTCAAGACGCTTCCCAGATATTTAAACTTCCGCGTCTGCTTGATTCTAGTGTTCCTGACGTGCAAATCGCATTAGTCAGTTATGTGCCATACGTGATACATGCTTAGGCGATCATGTATCTTTTTCCCTCAGTAGGTTGCCATTTCTTTCTGCGGTAGACCAGTTGCCATCCAAGGCTATAGAACCCGGTCTGACCTGCTATTTACCCATAGCAGAGGGGAGAAGAAGAGGATTCATAGTTGTAGCACGTAAGTGAATGTAATGGATTTGACTGGAATTCGAACTCGGCTCTCCAATTCCTCATTCCGTGCCGCTATCCATTACTCCACCATACGATCTTCAAAAGTTGAAATGCTATATCGGTCTCCATTTTCTGTCTTCCTGATCTCTGTTCGTTTATTGATTTTCTCCTCACTTTCGGCCGTTATGCACTGCGAGCTTCTTCAGGTGATTGGAATTTCGAACTGATCCTTTTATTTACTTCACTGTGGTAGATTGTTCTAGTTTCAAATGCCACACCTCTTCCGGATGTCGCAGTTTTTTTCACTTTAACTCAACTCTTTTTGAGAATACATGACTCAGTGGATAAAGTGACTAGACTCAAAGAGTTGGGAGTTCAATACAAGGCCACAGCAGTGGTAAACAAAAACTTGCAGAGTTGAGTTAAAGGGAAATAACCGAGAAATCCAGCAGAGGCAAGACACGTGGAAATAGAATATTCTACGTACAACGGCCAAAACGTTTTGAATATGGCAATGAAGATGAGAATAACAGTTCGAATAATGTAAATAATGTAAGTAATCATAATACCTCATCACAGAGATATAGGCAGTGGAAGTGACAGAGAAATATGACATGAAGGCCTGAGAGTATAACGACCGAAGCGTTGTGAATATGGCAATGAAGTTGATTATAACAGCCCGAATAATGTAAATAATGCAAGTAATCATAATACCTCATCTCAGAGATACAGACAAAGGAACAGACAGAAAAATATGACATAAAGGCCGGAGCGTACAACGGCCGAAACGTTGTGAATATGGCAATGAAGATGAGGATAACAGTTCGAATAATGTAAATAATGCAAATAATCATAATACCTCATTTCATAGATATAGACAGAGGAATAGACAGAGAAATATGACATAAAGGCCGAAACGTACAACGGCCGAAACGTTGTGAATATGGCAATGAAGACGAGGAAAACAGTCCGAATAATGTAAATAATGCAAATAATCATAATACCTCATCTCAGAGATATAGACAGAGGAATAGACAGAGAAATATGACATAAAGGCCGGAGCGTACAACGGCCGAAACGTTGTGAATATGGCAATGAAGACGAGGAAAACAGTCCGAATAATGTAAATAATGCAAATAATCATAATACCTCATCTCAGGGATATAGACGGAGGAATAGACAGAGAAATATGACATAAAGGCCGAAACGTACAACGGCCGAAACGTTGTGAATATGGCAATGAAGATGAGGATAACAGTTCGAATAATGTAAATAATGCAAGTAATCTTAATACCTCATCTCAGAGATATAGACAAAGGAACAGACAGAAAAATATGACATAAAGGCCGGAGCGTACAACGGCCGAAACGTTGTGAATATGGCAATGAAGATGAGGATAACAGTTCGAATAATGTAAATAATGCAAATAATCATAATACCTCATTTCATAGATATAGACAGAGGAATAGACAGAGAAATATGACATAAAGGCCGAAACGTACAACGGCCGAAACGTTGTGAATATGGCAATGAA